AGTGAGTTGATAACCTATTGAGCAAAAGACATAGAAATAATTATTTTTTGACTTTCTTAGAAAATATGAAATTCTCGCTTTAACAGTTGGAATTCGATCTATGAGTAGGCCGTAGCGCCGCTATCTGTGCAATACTTCCCTCCTAGCACACTGTATGGCATATATCCGTCTTCATTAGCCTAGTAGGGAGAGAGAGGGAAATGGGGTTTAACGTCAACTCGACACAAACTAGGTCATTTCCGGAGTAACATGTAGTTCAATTTTATTTTAATAATTCGCTTGCGCGTAGAAATCTATAGCAGTGGGGGGGGGGGGACTGGAGGACCCGGAGAAAACCCACGAGGTTGGACAGGTGACCCTACTCCTTGTCACGTACAACCAGGGAATCGAAACCACCATTAGCCCAGTCGGGGCAGAACGTTATAAGCCAATTTCAGTCTCATTCATAAAAGTGTCCAGATGCCGCTTTATAATACATATACATTTATGAGATTCATACAGATCATATAAAAAAATCTTTAAAAGATTTTAAAAAATACAAACTAATAAAAAACAACATCTAGGTATGAAAGGCTGACATAATAAAACGTGGGAGGTTATTTAACAAAAAAATGAGCCTCAACATAGCATTTTTTACAAAAAAATCAGTCTAAAAGGCAGTCACGTCAAGAATGGGTTTTAATGTTCATTGATTTTGGGGGCATAATACTAAAATATGCAAATGACTACGAAAAAAGTCACTATAGAACCTAACAGAAGAAACATTTCCAATTACATGTGACGCCCAAACGCACCAATAGCTACCGCATGGAATGCAGGTGATGCTTGGGATCATCATGGGGGTCCAACCCAAGATTTGCACGACTCTGACTTTGAATGTTACAGTCATTGTGGCATTGAATTCCAGGGTGGAAACATCAGTTTAATTGTTTTAGTGACCAGAAAACAAATTTTGATATGCGTCGGCTTACCCAAAATGAAAGGTTACGTGCCCTTGGCATGCTACAGATCGGCACAACACAGGCGGTTGTGGCGCGGACGATGAATGTTTCTCAGTCTGTCATAAGCAGGCTATGGTCCAGATACCGTGATACACAATCTGTACAGGACAGACCACGCACAGGTCGACCAAGGGCGACAACTCAAGCCCAGGATCGATTTATCCGTACCTTGGCCTTGAGAAATCGTGTCATCACAGCAAATCAGATCAGCGCTCGTCTTCACTGGCGTGAGAGTGAGTGGCCAGACGATTCGGAATCGACTGCATAGGGGTCACCTTCGCGCCCGACGTCCTCGCGTGATCCCTTGTTTGAGAGATCATCACATTCAGGCAAGGCGTCGTTGGTGTAGGGATCGTCAACACTGGGATAATCGACGCTGGAGCAATGCGATGTTTTCAGATGAGTCAAGGTTCACTGTTGATTTTTTGGACAGACGTAGGAGGGTGTGGCGTCGTCGAAACGAGCGCTTCCAAGACGTTAACGTCATCAGACATGATCGATTTGGGGGTGGTTCTGTTGTTTGGGGAGGCATCACTGTTGCTGGAAGAACGGCTTTACATGTTGTTGCAGGGCGTGTTACAGGCCAGTACTACCGGGACAACATCTTGCAGTCCATGTTGTGCCGTTCGCACGACGTCATGGCCGCCGTTTCATCTTCCAGGATGACAACGCAAGATGTCACAGGGCCAGGATCGTTACAGGTTACCTCCAACAACAGAACATCACCACATTACCTTGGCCAGCACTGAGTCCCGACCTCTCCCCCATCGAGCATGTCTGGGACATGCTTGGACAGAGGTTACGTCAACGTCAACGACGTCCTGCCAATATCCAAGAACTTGCTGCTGCGTTGCAACAGGAATGGGACAATCTGGACCAAAATGACCTTAGACGTCTCATTAGGAGTATGCCACGTCGGATCAATGCTTGTTTGGCAAACAGAGGAGGATTTACCCGTTACTGACTTGGTTGTGATGCTGTGGTAACTTTGCTGTTTGACCCCGGGTATCATTTTACCCTTATAATGGTCAGTCTGTGCCTTACTTAGTCTAACGATCATTTGGAATAAATCGATGAATGTGAACTTCATTTCATTTTGTCATTTGGTTCTTCGTCAGTTTCATTAGGTGACTTTAATAACACTTAAAAATCAAATATCCTCTACTTTTTTTGAATAGTATATCTATGTATATGTATCTGATGTAATGAGTACAGCTGTATTTTTGTGACTTGTAGAAAGAGACTAGGACAATAAGTCGACATCTCGACGTTACGATAAAAATAACACGATGATACGACAGAGTTAAGTGTCGTATGATTGCGTCAATACTGTCGTGATGTCGTGTTGTCGCGCTATGAAAAGGGCGAGATTTAACATGGCCACTATCAGCCACCATACTATTATACCGATTTCTCGGGGAATATCAAAACGAGTGTTACGTTTTTGTTGTTACCAATGACATACAATAATAACAAACCAACTGTAAGCTCAGTCATGTATTATTAAAATTATTTTATTAAACACCATTCAGCATTGACTCATTGGTTTTAAAAGGCGTAGGCTCGCTAACAAAGCAGCCCGTGTTCGATCCTAGTTTCCCATCGGGTTTTCCAGCGTGGTTTGACATTGATTGTTAGTGGTGTAGGGCGGAGGCAGGGGCGGATTTGTCCAATTCGTCTAAAAAACCTTTTTTCTGCTGAACATTATATGGGGAGCGGGGGTATTGGATCGGCCATGGAGCGATGATGATCATGTTGTATGTGGTCGGTGGCTTTAACGGGCCGCCACGCCATCACTGGAGTCTGGAATGGGCTGGTATAATAGACTTTCTGGGCCGGGTGTGCTGGGTGTGGGCCGGAATTCGGAATCTTGCAATGGGGATTCCGAATTTCATCCGAAAATTTCATCGGATTCACCCGACATTGTCGCCTGGTGGGGATACGCCAGAAACGTCTGCCAATGGTTCGTATATCCCAAAAAAAATTCAATTTTAAGGCCTCATCAAAATTTGGTGATAGCTGGTCTGCTGGCTGAATTTGACAGAGATTATAATCAGATATGCCACCAAATCGCATATTTGGGGTTCATTTTTCAAAATTTTCCCGGGGGAGAGCACCCGGATCCCCCGTCCGGGCTCCGCGGCCAGTAAAAGGGGCCGCTCCGACACGGGAGCCCGGGCCGGTTCCCGGTCCCAATCCGCCCCTGGGCGGAGGTCCTGGCAAGAGACAATGTACAGTCATTTCAATGGGACGAAAAAAAATCCCCAGGTCCGGTGTGCACGTCAAAGAAACCTTAAAGCTACAATTTCATATTTTTAAGTTAGAAAGAAAGAGAAAGAAATGGGCTTTAACGTCCACTCGACACAAACTAGGTCATTTCGGGACTAACACATGGTTCAATTTTATTTCAATCATTCGCTTGCGCGTAGGGGTCTTTAGCAGTGGGAGGAAACCGGAGGACCCGGAGAAAACCCACGAGGTTAGACAGGCGATTTTTAAGTTAGATTTTTAAAATTTATTAAAATAAAGCCTTAAAATAGATGGTATCCATAAACAGTCCTACCTTGTTAAAGAATAATCCTATTAATCCTATAATTCACAATTGCAACCTGAGAAATTGGCAAAAATATCATTTTGGGCTTCAAATGTTTGAACATAGCTATTCAATGGAGGTAATAGGAAAACAAGGGAGGTAATTGTGTTATTATTTCCTGTGTCAATGATTTTTAAGGGTGGGAAATAATGCCCATGATCGTATTATAGTGAGTTGATAACCTATTGAGCAAAAGACATAGAAATAATTATTTTTTGACTTTCTTAGAAAATATGAAATTCTCGCTTTAACAGTTGGAATTCGATCTATGAGTAGGCCGTAGCGCCGCTATCTGTGCAATACTTCCCTCCTAGCACACTGTATGGCATATATCCGTCTTCATTAGCCTAGTAGGGAGAGAGAGGGAAATGGGGTTTAACGTCAACTCGACACAAACTAGGTCATTTCCGGAGTAACATGTAGTTCAATTTTATTTTAATAATTCGCTTGCGCGTAGAAATCTATAGCAGTGGGGGGGGGGGACTGGAGGACCCGGAGAAAACCCACGAGGTTGGACAGGTGACCCTACTCCTTGTCACGTACAACCAGGGAATCGAAACCACCATTAGCCCAGTCGGGGCAGAACGTTATAAGCCAATTTCAGTCTCATTCATAAAAGTGTCCAGATGCCGCTTTATAATACATATACATTTATGAGATTCATACAGATCATATAAAAAAATCTTTAAAAGATTTTAAAAAATACAAACTAATAAAAAACAACATCTAGGTATGAAAGGCTGACATAATAAAACGTGGGAGGTTATTTAACAAAAAAATGAGCCTCAACATAGCATTTTTTACAAAAAAATCAGTCTAAAAGGCAGTCACGTCAAGAATGGGTTTTAATGTTCATGCTGGCAGTCTATAAGTTTGGTCCAATATTTTATGAATGATAAACAGCTAAGTCGTACCGACCACATTCACCTTTTGCCCCTTCCGAAGAACTAGTTTTATGTATTTGAAGGACAAATTTGTTGTAAATGGACAGTATCAATTTTCTTCCTATACTCATAGCCCCATATTTCGGCTGCATACAACAAAACGGGTTTAATTACTGAATCAAATATCGTGAACCTGATAGAAATCGAATTAGATCTGGTTTTTCGGAGCAAGGCGTGGATTGGAAGAAGTGATTTCCTAGCTTTAACTGTTAAAGTGTAAATAGCTTAACTCCAGATTAACCTAGACGAAGAGAGAGAGAGGGGGGGGGGTAACGTCCACTCGACGCAAACTATGTTAGGTACGAGTCAAGTATTAGTTGTGGACGACATCACCAATGCCGTGAGGACGACTTAACCAGTAACTGTAGACGACTTAACTGTGGACGACTTTGCTTGTGGACGACTTAACTGTCAACTATTGAGAGTAACTTGACTGCACCAATCAAGTGCAACACCGGAAATGAGATACTGTCATGGCGTCTGCGCTAAAATTGGAATTAAAATCTTTAAAGACATTTGTTAATAATTCACTAATCTGACGCCAGTGTTTAGTATTTGACATATTTCGTTTCACATGACAAAGGTAATAGCCACAAGTCGATTTCTGCAAATACTTCACACATTTCTGATTGTTTCACCTTCGGCTACCCGATTATGATTATGACCTATTCAATTGTTATTACTGTGAGCTGTCGGCGTCGAACTGAGACAATGCGATTTCATCCCATTTCAAAAAAATAACATAGTTTACTTTTTAATAACCTAACTTTGTACATAATGGCAAAATAGATTATTAATATTATTATTTATTTTTTTTTTTTTGACTGCTTACTTACACAGTGAATGTGTCACCTGTACGACTTACCGTACCGAAAATACAATGATTTGTTGGATACCGGTACATATGTAGTTAATATTGCACATAACCATGCCGTATTTATAGTGTTTGTGTAGGGTGACCCGTGCACTCTAGAGATAGTTGGTCTCGACACGGCTAAATGTGCACGTTTCTGTTGCGTGTCTCGAACTGATTTCTGACTACCCCGCACTCTTTTTGAGTCGATAAATAGCCATGGCACGTGCAATTCTCTACAAATATATCAACTGTTACAGCCGTAAAAAATCTAATGTTGACGATTTTGAATAGCAGTAAAATTTAGCTTCTTGGTTATTACAGCAGCTTTAGAAATTTTGTTTGTTTTATTTTTTAAATTGCTTTATCATTAACTGTACCGTTAAGAGCTGCATCTTTTGGTTTAGTACAAATAATATCTCTGAAACACTCAGGTTAGACAAGAACATGATACTAGCAGTAGTTTCATTTTACTTTTACAAGTTTCTTAAAACAATTGTTGAGTTGTCTAAAGTGCTTATTTCTAAATTCAATTTCTTGTTCTAGCTTTCTGTTATGTTTCGTAAAAAAGTAGTCTTGATTACCCCGACCTGTCAATCAGACGTAGAATGGTTGATAGACTGGTTAAGCGAGACTAATTTCAAAACAAGGGCGCGTAACCTATCTTTTACTCAAAAGTGTCTGGATGTTATGGACGACACTTGGAACCAGTTTTCAGTCTATTATTTATAGATGATTAATGGTCATAGCTTATTAAATACAACATGATCGTTTATTTAGTGACTATAATTGTGTGAAACTGATTTGAAGCTTGGCATATATATAAATATTGTGGCGTAATTGTCAAGATATTTGGAGATATTTATTTATGGTGGGTCACCTTAGTTTGTGTAAGTGCCTCCATAATTATCAAATCACTCGTACAGTAGATGAATCACATTCCTTAAACATGCATTATGCAAGAGCTAAATCTGCCTATTGCAGGTCTTTCTTTAGGCCTGAAATGTTTTCTAAAGTATTAATTAGACATTAATTAACTAATCCAGGCCTTAATCAACTCTCAATGGCATCAGATTTCTCCGATATTAAATAGATTAGAATGGTTCAGCGATACTTTGATTTAATCAAATATGGAGGACCGAGACATAGCTTCGATCAACCAGTACGGTGGTTGAAATTATTGCACACGTCTGTCAAACCTTCAAAGGCTAATATCTTCGCTTGCAATAGAGTAATTTGAATGAAATTTTCAAATTCATTTTACATCATCTACTTTTGAACTATATAGCAAGAATGGCTAGTTCTTTATCTAAATCTTACATAATGTATCTTTAATTGAGTTACGTAACCCTGTTAAACAAACCTAACAATCATTTCTGAACAGCTCAGTATGGTATTTTAATTTGTAATTTTCACACAAGGTAAATAAATACATGTGATGTAGGCTATAATTTCACTTTATGTACTTAAACTTAAGTTCCCTCTCCATTTGTGTCGTACTATAGAACTTCTTGTTTTTAATATTACATGTAGCCTACTTCAGAAATAAACTTGCATGTATTTATTCCTATTTTTAGGTTGATAAATTTCCAATCAAGGTAAATAGACTATATGTATGTAAACTTCAATCCCCTTTCATTTTTATCGTACTATAAAATTTAGAACTTCCTAGTTTTAATATTACATATAGCCTACTTCAGAAATAAGCTTACATGTGTTTATTCCTGTTTTTAGGTTGATGAAGAGGCTAAAATGGAGGATAATGTAGAAAGAACTGAAGCATATCTTCAATGTAGATTATGTGAGCAGAAATTTAAGCATTACAGCGATTTCCAGACTCATAATAAATCCCATATAAAAGATAAAGCTGTTCGGAATACTGGGACTCCGGAAAATGCTAAACAAGGTCATGGGCATAGGGATTTTTGGACTGATGATGATGAAGGTCATGGACTTCGAGATTGTGCTGTTAACGATGAAGACCATGGGCATAGGGATTTTCCTGCTGATGCTGATGAAGGCCATTGGCTTAGGGAATGTGCTGCTGCTGATGAAGGGCATGGGCTTATGGACTTTGCTAATAATATTGAAGGCCATGGATCTAGGGAAAGTACTACAACAGAAATTCAACAAGAAACACAAGGCATAGCAAACCTTAAAGATGAAACAGATGTGTTTCCTTGTGGGCTCTGCGGTTTGACATTTGACCGTTATGACAATCTTAAGAAACATTGTCAAAACTACCTGCATGGTGATAGTAATCGTTCAAAAATTACAGAGGTTACAGATCATCAATGTGAAATTTGTGGCTGTGTGTTTCCGAAATATCTGGACTTGGAGATCCATAAAAATATACATATTGAATATGAAAATGATGAGGACGAGAAATCCACTGAATTACAGGATCAAGCAATAAGTTGGACTTTAATTCCTGCTGTACACAAACGTTTTTCTTGTGGCTATTGCAGCAAAGACTTTTCTCGTAAAAGTGCAGTCAAGAGACATATCATAATTCACACCAGTGAAAGGCCCTTTGTATGCCAATATTGTAATAAAGGATTTAGCCAAAAGATATATCTTACAACTCATTTAAGAATTCACACGGGAGAAAAGCCGTTCCGTTGTAAACAATGTGACAAATGTTTCAGTGATCGGAGTAGTTTAATTAGACATGTTAAAAGCCACTCTGAGGACAAACCTCATAAGTGTGACGTTTGTGGTAAATCATTTAATGTCATAAATAGCTTACGCACGCATAGCAAGATCCATAACGATCAGAAAGAATACACATGTGGTGTGTGCTGGAAATCGTTCAGTTTGAATTTCCATTTACAAGTTCATATGAGGATTCACACTGGCGAAAAACCATATAAATGCGGATTGTGCGAAATGTCTTTCAGTACGAGCTGTAATTTGAAAAGCCATATAGCACGGCATTCAGATAATAAACCCTTTGTATGTGATGTATGTGGCCGCTCGTTTAACTCTAGTGCAAAGCTAGAGACCCACGGTCGAGTTCACACTGTGAAAGTTACGAGTCTAACATGCGAGATTTGTGGGCTAACCACCACCACTAAAGCTAATTTGATACGACATATGGAAGTACATACAGCTGAAAAACCTTATAAATGTGATGTTTGTGGTAAATCATTTAGACGTAATTGTCGGTTAGCAATCCACATGAGAATTCACTCTGGAGAGAAACCCTATAAGTGTGATATTTGTCAAAAGACATTTTACGATCCAGACAGTTTACCGAAACATATGAAACGACACTTTGAAGTCAACATCAAATCTGAGTAAATGTTACTTGGTTTACAACTCAACAAATTCCACCTGGCCCACCAAGAACATTCAAACTCAACAAATGGAACCCGGCCCACCAAGAACATTCAAACTCAGTAATTGTCACTTGGCCCACCAGGAACATTAAACATCAACATTAGTCTACCGGGACTTTAATAATTGATGCGGGTAAAGGTCACAGTACATGTATTTAACATTATACCAGATACATTGATTGAGCTTCTAGAAGTACATGTACTGATAAAATTTCCAGGGAATTCACTAGGGTCGTTTATGAATAAACCTCAAGAACATACAGTAGGATAGGGTTGAAGACCTTTAGCTCAAGTGTGACATTTTTTTTTTAATTCACTTCCAGAAACTATAACAATATTGCCATCATTACATGTAAATGTGTTCAAAAATCTCAAGTAAACATTTAGTTATTTGAATGCTATGCTAAATTACAACATTTAGTTAGAACGATATTTATGTGCTTTGAGTATCCATGTGTGAAGAAAATCGTCATTATTATTATTGTTCATTAAGGATGCATTATGTAACAGCTACATGTAGATGTAGATCTTTCGTTTGGCCCTAAATGTTATATAAATGATTAATGAGAGATTAATTACATATTTGTTCACATGATTTTCAACAGATTTAAACACAATTGACAGTTGATAATTTAATTAAAAATTGGATAATCGAGATTTCGTTTATTGCAATTAACAGTAGCAATGGCAATTGAGACTACACTGTTGTTCAAATCACCATATCTCTACTCAGAATGAAGTGATTTGACCCAAATTTTCAAAATATTCCCCTTTCTTTATCTATTTTTTTTAAAATATTATAGCGAGAAATGCCAGCTCTTTATCCAATCTTACATAATGCATCTTTAAAGGAGACTGCCAGTAGGTTAGGGGTAAGCTTGTTATATTCTTCCAAAATATTTTATTTTTCCTGTTGTCTTTTTATTAGCTGTACCTTTTCTTCCTCGATGGCTCACTTTCGAATTGGTAGATGTTCATGTAGGACTTACAGGTGTATATTTTTTGTGCTTTTTCATAGAAATAGGGTTCAGGAAGAACAAGTAAAAAAGATAAGTGTAGCTAGGAAGAAAATAAAGACTGTTGGTCTTATATGAAATGAGATGGGCTTTGAGCCTTTGACTTTGACAGTGATGTAGGATGGAGGATTGGGTAAGGGACAATGTGTAGTCATTTAGATGAGATAAAAAATCGATGTCCCATGAACACATTGGCATGCACATAAAAGAAGGCTTGACAGTTGGAATTTGAAATAAGAGTAGACTGTAGCACCGCTGCCCGGGCAAAATTTCACAAGCCTAGTAGGAGAAGACCAGTAGGATGTTAAACCCCATTTCATTTCAATTCACTATCCACCAGGAGGTCCTGTGTTCTATTCAGGTGCTGGCTGCGAGCTGCTAGCATGGTTTCTCAAAGTCAGTGATGCAGTATTGAGGGGAAGGCACAGTGTCTAGTTGTTCCACTGGGAACGAAAATCAGACCATACTGGGTTTTTTATATTTACACTTCTTTGTTTTGGGATTACTCCAGAAGAGAAGCTGTAGGAATGGTGACTATTGATAGGGGTTGTCCTCTCATGATCACAATGCTTCTTACCAAATTTGTAAAACATAAGTTAAAAACTGAAGCCTCTATCGTATTCACAAGATTTTCGGCGAAGGGGGCATAACTCCAGAACGAAAAGTCACAGTGCTGAATATTTACTGTGTCTGTCCTCTCATGCGAACAATGCTTCACACTAAATAAGTAGCTGTTAAAAACTTTTGACTTTATTGCGTTCACAAAGTATACGGCAAAGAGCCATAATGCTTCCCACCACTCTTGAAAAAAGATCAGATAAAAACTATAGCATCTATCATGTTCAGAGGCAAAAAGGGGTAGATCAGGAACGCTGAAGTCAATAGGGCTCGTCCTATCATGACCACATTGCTTTACAACAAACTTGAAAAGAATCGGTTAAATACTGTAGCGTCTATCGCGTTCACAAGGTTTTCGAAAAAGGGGCTAACCCTGATATAAAAAGTTGCGTAATGCTTAAAATCAATAGGATGAATTTGTTAAATACTATTACCTCTATCGTGTTCACAAGGTTTTCGAAAAATGGGCTAATGCTGAACCTGTTAAATACTATTGCCTCTATCATGTTCACGGGCTTTTCGAATTAGGGAACATAACACTGGAGCCAAAATTCGAGGGGCGCTGTATATTAAGAGGGTTCGTCCTCTTGTGACCTCAATGTTTCAGACTAAATTTGAAACGAGTCTGTTAAAAACTGTAACCTCTATCGCACTCACAAGTTTTTCGGCTGAGGGGACATACATGTAATTCTGGAATGGATAGTCGTGGAATTCTGGATAAAAATAGGGTTCATCCTGTTAAAAACTGTAGCCTCTATCGTGTTCAAAAGCCAATTATTGACGGACAGGCGGATGGGTGACGGCATCATACACCCACACCGAAATGTGGACGAATAAGAATGGTACAAGAGTTCTTAGGGAACAAAAAAAAAAAAAAAAAAAAAGTAAAGGAGTCTTTATGATAGGCAGGTCAACTAAAATTTAAATGTAACAAAATCAAGATAATTTTTTTATGGTCCATTTTTTCCGAAATTTTTACAATTATATCATAGGTCCGCTGTCAATATTACAGAAAAAAGCCATATGTTGAAACAAAGCCTATTGACGATTAACATTTTATGCTGGTTGCATAAAATGATAGAACTTGAAATTGTGGCCTAAGCTTTTTGAATTTTTTTTTATGAGGCCTTTACCTCTGAACTGCAGGACTACTAAACTGTTGTTGAGCGTCTGTCTTGTAACCTGGCAACCTATGATTGTTATAAGGAGTACATGTATGTAATTAATCAAATATTCTTCCATATTTACTTGTTTGTGATGTATGTGCTGTGTTTTTCATATATTGATCATATATGCATGCTTTGTATTCGAATTTTGTCTGGTTGTGCATTTGTAACCGTGTATAATTTTTTGTACTTTTATTTCTCACCTTTGTATGCTGCCCTCAATAGGAGTTTCGATGCAATAAAATTCTATTCTATGGTTGTTAATCTCAGAAATCTACATCTCCTAAAATTGAATGGAAGTTGGAAACGACAGGTAACCGTACCGCACCCCGTACCTGTATTACTATCGTTAAATACGAAGATTTTCTCACATTCCTTAATTAAACACATAGTTACCCATAAAGATGAATGAGTCGATGTTACTCCATTAATTAATACAACAATTTATAAGGTGTCATTACAACATGTACCCGTACTGATAGTTCAGCTCTGAACGTAGGTCTTATTACACTCGCCCTGTACGTTCAGGAACCGTCCTATTGAATCCTTGTCGAAAATAAAATCGCTTCCCGGTCAATTTTACTGGCCAACTTTTTACAGCTAAACGGTCGCGTGTCCGTCCCTGCGAACGCCTGAACAATGTAACTGAACATCTTAGTGAGAAAATAAGACCTTGTTACCTCGCTAGAAACAGTATGAGTGATACAAAACGCTGTTAAAAATACGTCCCCGTCTTCTAACCGACTAAATTAAAATCGAAATATAAGGTAACGCACAATTTCATTAATTCGCCTGCGCATGGAGGTCTTTAGCACTGGGAGGAAACCGGAGGACCCGGAGAAAACCAACGAGACTGGAAAGGCGACCATTTTACTTCTTGTCATGTTGAATCGGAGATTTCACAACCACCCCGTACCCGTACCGATTAAACACCATATCTATATTATGTGGGATCCACGGTGGCTCAGTGGGTGAGACCCTTCGCTCGTAAGAATGGGGATCCTGTGTTAGATCACTGCGCTAGCCTTGAAAGTTTATTGGGATATTTTCAGGCGTGGTTCCGCCTTGTCAAGTGGTGCAGGGGGGCGGGGGTTAGGCAAGGGACAACGTATAGTCGTTCGGATGGGACGGAAAAAAAGGACCCCGTGTATACTACTCATTGGCATACACGTAAAAGAACCTTTGGCAGTTGGAATTCGATATGAGTAGGCTATAGTGCCGGAGTCCCGGCAAAATATCCCCCAGAGCACCTTGTATGGTGTATGCCAGTCTTCATTAGCCCAGTCAGAGCAGACTGGTAGGACGTTAAACCCTATTTCATTTTATTTATATTATTTAATACATCTCACAAAAATTACAACACTATACATACTTAAACATTTAAACAATAAGCGAAAAAGGCATGCAGTAGACCAAAAGTGTCGCCTCCCAAAAAGTGTCACAGGCAGATCATCACCCTTGCTTCGCTATGACTACGCTACTGATGTTGGATTAATTATTGTGTTTTATTTTTTAAAAAGGGACCCCTCTGTATTTTGAGAGTGTGCAAGGACGAAAAATCTTTCGTTGAATAAGCAGATTGTTTTCCCTCTCGCAGACTGGCTGGAGCTTAACCGTGCAATAACTGGTCATTTTCAATGATATTGCACACTTTTGCTGGTTTACACTAGTTTTAGTAGAAATCATATAGAGAATGGGATGTTATCAAGGGCGTGGATTTGTCATAACTTTTTTGGGGGGTGGGAGGGGCGGACGAACCCTGGAACCTGGAACATTTCATTACCAAACGAAATAAATAATTACGAACAGTTTACTGTACTAGGGGTATTATGACGACAATATGGAAAAATTGACTACCTACAGCAAAGCTGCGTAAATATTAATTGTTCATGAAGTGAATCGTCCAAAGACGTTCGTTCTACGATCAGGACTGTTCTCTTTTAATATCTTGGCGACATGAAGGGGGTCTTTATGCACCGCACACGCCATCAAGTGGTTCAGTCGGTTTGGCGTCATGAAGTTGCGCAGCCAAGGTTTGATACGGCGCAGAGTGCTGAAGGATCGCTCGGCTGAGCAGGAACTAGCAGGGTTCAACAGTGTGAGATGAGAAAAGCTTCGACAAAAGGGAATATCTGCCTCACTTCAGGTGACATAATGATTGAGGAACGCTTCGTGCACAAGTGAAATAGATTTGGCCGAAAACTGGCGCTTGAAGAATGGCAAATCTTGTTCCAAGTCCCGATTCAGTTCATGATACGTAGAAACAAGCTCACCATCATGTGGATATAAACCTGAAAATCTTTCTGGCGATCAAAATCACGGGGGGGGGGGGGGGACAGATACCTATTCGTCAAAGTAGGCCATATAACCGCTGCGCGGGCAAAATTTTCCTCATAGCACACTGAATGGCGTATGCCTGTCTTCAATAGCCCAGTATAGGAGAACAGGAGGACGTTAAACCCCATTTCATTTCATTACATTTCATTTCATAATGCATCTTTAATAATCTTTACTAGCTCTTACATAATGCATCTTTAAGAAATCCATAATAATAACAAAAAAGCTGACCCAACAAAAAACAGGCCTGTTGAATGTTCACTTTGAAAGTTTTCAACTTTGTGAATTATTCGTTTGGATCTCGTATAATCCCTATTTTATAACCGAGGTTAGCACAGGGCGGAAGAGAGAGAGAGAGAGAGAGAGAGAGAGAATGGGGTTTAACGTTCACTCGACACAAACTAGGTCATTTCGGGACTAACACATGGTTCAATTTTATTTCAATAATTCGCTTGCGTGTAGGGGTCTTTATAAGTGGGAGGAAACCGGAGGATCCGGAGAAAACCCACGATGTTTGACAGTCGATCCTACTCCTTGTCACGTACAACCAAGGAATCAAAACCACGCCAGTTGACTCAATGACAGACCTTATGATACAGGCGCACGTGCTAACCATTCGGCACAATTATATGGAATGCACGTTACTTGAAATATTGATTTCTGGCGGCGTTATAACGGTTTCTACGAGAATTCACTCGTGTCTATCAAGCAAACAATAAATTATAAACCTTTCAAGTAACTTGTATTCCATACATTTGTGTTATGTTAACCGTGTCTAGTTTGTTGATCAAAGTCGTACAATTACACCTGGCGACACTTTAACAGTTAGTGGTGCAGAACGGAGGGCCTGACAAGAACAGCTGTCTAGTCCTTCGGATGTATACATTGGAATGCACGTAAAAGATCCCTTGTTGGAATTCGATATAAGAGTAGGCGATAGTGCCGCTGCCCGGGCAAAATTTCCCTCATCGCACACTGTATGGCGTATGCCGGTCTTCATTAGCCCAGTATAGGGGCAGAACAGTAGGACGTTAAACCCCATTTCATTTGATTGCATTTCATTTCCTTGTAAATTAGTCGCTTGGACCTCTTATATTTTATAATCGAGGTTATCCTATGGCGGAATATGATGTATAAATGTGAACGACCCAAGTCGTAAATACTTAACGTTTTTGAAACACATGGTGCCACAGTCAAAGGAATTTTTGATTGTGAAATCGACTTTACGCAACCGTAGATACATTCAAAACAAACCTTAGTACTAAGGATATTATACTCTTTTATTCCTACATTTCTAGAGTAAATCAAAATCTTGGATGTCTCAAAAAGAATGATGTCCCAGACAGTAACACATAAACACTTCACTTAAACAAAACCATTAGTGAATGTTTATTCCAAGAAAACTAACGATTATAGACAAATCTACAACAATAATTGCTAAGCAACGTGAACTCTTCAAATGGCAAGTGTTATAAAAACAATACGCATGCTCTGACTTATACTAGATAAGTACAGTGATTGTGTACGTGTTATAATCACACCAATGAAACATTTCTTATATAAAACATACGCAAAAAAACTGACGCAAAAGAAAAACATTTATTTAAAAAATAACTGACTTGCGCATAAGAAAAACATACTTGATTTATTCATAAAAAATACAGGTCCATATCAGAGTGTGGAATACAACATGGGTCTATGAATATCTGCAACTTTTAATTTGAATAGATCAACAATGGGCGTTCTAGAATTTATTAACTGTCGATGGTGGGAATTCGATAATTGCAAGGCATTTTATGACAGTAAACAATCATCAGTTTAAAACAGGATTTTAATCATTTTGTGATCTCGCTATGAATCAGTGGAACTACATAAGCAAGTTGTACCATATCTTAATTATTATTGCAGGCGGATTCATAAATATTTCTTTATTACAAGGTAAGTACCAATGTAGATCACCCTTTAGACGAATGGTTAGTACGTGCGCGCTGTATCATAAGGTCTTTCATTGAGTCAACTGGCGTGGTTTCGATTCCCCGGTTGTTAGTGACAAGGAGTAGGGTCGCTTGTCCAACCTCGTGGGGTTTTTCCGGGTCTTCCGGTTTCCTCCCACTGCTAAAGACCCCTACGCGCAAGCGAATTATTGAAATAAAATTGAGCCATGTGTTAGTCCCGAAATGACCTAGTTTGTGTCGGACGTTAAACCCCATTCCTCCCTCTCATCACGCTTAAGAGAGATTGTGGTGTGTGTGTGTGTGTGAAATAGCTTTATATAACATCCGCTTCTACCGAAGTGATATCGCAGTGAGATTATGCGGATGCTCCATTTATATAATCGTCGGAGACCGGAGCACAAAATGAATCTTAGGTGGTCCGGCGCAGTGCTGTATCACCTGAGCAACTGCTTCCCTTATTGGTGAAATGGAATAGAGGGTGTCGGAGTTTAACGTCTAGTCAAGGTGCTATTTAGATTATTTTAATTTCCTACGTAATACTTGCCCAAACTCAAGTGCTGTAAATAAATGACCGCCGTTGTAAAACTCCGTCAAACGTTATGACACCCACCCTCCAAAAAATTTAAAGGAAAGGTTTTTTGACGGTGTTTGGTAGTGTAGGATGTACTGAATGACATCCTAAAAGTTTACCAAACAGGGACTACCGGAAAGTCCTGAATTATGAAATTAATTGTCAGCTGTTTTAATACATCAGCCAATTCATAAACAAAATGGAGGTCGACC